CCTATCCCCTGTGTGCCTTGCCTCCCACGACTATATATATATAATACATTATATTATATATTTATATTTATATTGTTAATATATATTTATTATCAAATAAGTACCCAGAACTTTTTTAACTTTCCAGCAGGTTATCAAACACAGTACCTGGAACTTATTTAAACCTTCCATAACAAAACATTCCACTTCCAGAAGAAATAGAAAAAAATTTATATATGAAAGATATTTTTTCAGCCAGACAAACACACCCTAAGTAGTTGTGGCAGAACAAACATTGTCATTTACTATAAGAAAAATTTTATATAAGGTTGAGGCCTTAAACAATAAAAACCTAAAATTTGATCTCATAAATTCACTAGAAGAAGTTGTTTAAATGCCAAAAAAAGTCAAATTTGATCATCTTGATCTTAAGATACATGGACATAAAAAACAATGAACTTCAAATCTTGGAATAGTGCATGTTGTAGTGCATTATCTAGACCATCAATTTTTAATATTTTCAGGTGTTCATAAATCTACTTAATCTACACTATTTTTTAAGCTTTAAATTTTATAGTTAGAGATGATAACAAATTTTTAGGTCATCATAAATATTTTCGGTACTAAAACGGCATCTTTCGACACTATCTGAAGTTGTATCTTACATTGATTGTTTAGAGCTTCAGCCTTATACAAATCATACCTTTTACTATATCATGTTCGCAACAAAGAAATATAAATAGGAATTGGACTTGGGCTTGACTAGTTAGCCGTTGATATTGGCAATCCTCTATCTAAGTTCAATATCAACCGCTGAACTACATCCCCCAACCCAAAAAAAAAGAAGAAATAGAAATATTTCATAAGTATTTCTAAAGTAAACCGGTCATTTTGGTCTTGCAAAGCCCTAAGTTGGAGTTTGAACCCCAATCAATATGATCCACGCTTTCATAGTCACTAATGTTGCTTTTGAGACAACCATCCACTGGAGGTCCACAAAACATCATGCGCAGGCGTATTTTAAGGTCATTCAAGCTACATAGGATTAACCTCCCTAAGCTTTTTCTAAGCCCTAGGGACCACCTGTTGTGCACGCCTTGTGATTTGATTTCATATATCACCACTACCTGAGTGATTGAGTATTATTTTAACAAGGACCATGCCTCTTGACCAAATAATAATTTATCAAGGGGCTTTTAGGACATTTACCGTGCTTTTTAGTGATTACGTGATATTTAACCATAATTAACCTACCTAAATGAGACCATAGCACAACACATAATCCTAATGTAGTTATATTCATCTCAGAGCAACATGTCAACTCAGTGGAGAACACTACAAAAGGTCAAAAGGAAAGGAGGAAAAGATCAAAAGCACTTCAAAAAAGAGGGATTGTGTTCCCATTGTGACATTGTCTTTCCTAGGTGTGGAAGGGGATCATCATTGATGGTTGAAATCTAAGAACACCTGCAAATAAAACAACCATTAAGCTCCTCTCAACCACCCCACTTCCCATGGCCACCATGATTTCCCCCATATTCACACAATCAAACCCCCTCTCCCCCTGTTTATAAATCATGCCTGAGGAACTAATTCTCAGGCATTGGAAACTTGTTGTAGTTGATGAGCAAGGCATTCACCATAAAGACTATGTTCACAGTCGTTGCCTATTTGCTATTGTCAAATGTTATAGTACCCAGTGTCAGTGGTGCTGGAGCATGTGGCAAGACACCGGTAAACACTGTGGCTGCGAGCATGAGCTCATGCTTAGTTGCTGCAAAGAGTGCGACGGCTAAGGTGCCACCGGCTTGTTGTGCTAGGGTGACAGCAATGATCAAGTCCTCTCCTGCATGCCTTTGTGCAGTTTTCTTGTCACCACTGGTGAAAAACGCTGGGGTTAACCCAGCTGTGGCCGTATCGATCCCTAAACGTTGCAACATTAAGAACCGACCCGCCGGTCACAAATGCGGACGTAAGATGACCTTATTTTGATCTTTTTCTTTCTTTCTTTCTTTCTTCTTCTTCTTTTTCATTTTTTATTTATTTATTTATTTTTTTGTTCTTCTTCTTTTTCATTTTTTATTTATTTATTTATTTTTTTGTTGTTGGGTTAGCAACCATGTTTTGGAAATTCACACAATTGAGGGATGGTCGCCAGTAACAGGTGGGGATGGCTAATGTTACTACACATGTTTTGGGAGAATGAAAAATATTATGTGTAATACTAAAGGGTCATTTGGAAACCTTGGCACCCATACCCAACCGTTATCTTTACATGTTTTTATTGGAAGCCATGAAAAGAGAAACTCTTAGATGGTCATAATGTCAATTACCAATATCCAAGTTTTTCTTTATAGTATCAAAACATGTTTGTTTTCTTTTAGGGATTGTATACTACGATACTATTTATTTTAATATAAGGAGGTTGCGATCACTTTTCAACCTTAGATGTGGTATCCAATAGATGAAAGTGTATCACAATATTCGAAAAATTTTATTTTGGACTTTGTGCCCAAAACAATGATACATCTTTAACCAACCAATTTCATTTCCAACAATCAATGATAATTGTGACTTCCTTGTCGATGTGCTGGAATAATTTTTGGGTCTTTTTTCAGCCATGCGTAAAAAAGAATTGCATTTGGCACTTAAATTGCTGAACCAACTCCAGGCAATAACCCGAAATGTTGATTGAGAACTTTGTCCATGAAGGGCAATTTTGTTCTGGATGGCCATTAAATTTCATTGGGGGAATTGATGCAAAACGATACAGTGACAAGTATTGATGCAGAAAAAACTTTAAAAGGGGAGCCCATGCGTAGGATCTCTAAACGAGAAGGTTTACGTAATTTTCCCCTATTTATTCTTCTTGTCTAGGTGATATGCAAAATTGAGTGTATTTGCAAAGGATAATGGCTTGATAGGGCTGCAGCCCTATCAACATGAGTGAAGCCTCACCTTATAACTCACTGAAAATTATAGTTTTGTATTAAAAAACATTTAAATCGATCATCTCGGCTTGACCGTTATGGTTGTGAAAAAATTAGGATTTCAAACCTTAAAAATAACGTATATTATAACACATTATCTAAACCATCCGGTTTGCCCAAAAATTGAGTATATGTGAATCCGCAAGATTTGTACTATATTTTGAACTTTAAATTTCACTGTTGGTGATGGAAATTAAATTTAGAACCATCATGGAGATTTCTGATGCCCAAAATGTTTTTCAAATGAGGACTTGAGGCGAGGCCTTACTTTGTTTTCATAAAGCATAGCCTCATAGATACGGCACCGTAGTATAAAAAATGGGTTTCTTAACCCACTCTATATTAATTTGGTCTTGTTATTTGGATTTTTCAGGATACGTGCTGCCCTAAGAACTATATGGAGGCGAGGAGGATGAGCAATATAGCATTACTCAATGCAGCATGCAGATATTTATGATACCATATTATGAGAGCGTATGTAATAAATAAATGGATTAATAGCTATTACTTACCTTATAATTCCATTTGGACTCTTTATCTTCTTTATTTGCCTTGTGCATGTGACTCATGAAGTTTTAGAAATGGACTTTGACTCATGTAGTAGAAACATTATTCCAAGTTTGAGGAATCTAGATAAAAACAACATTTAAAGGAGAAGTTGTTTTAATTTTAAGGAACCTCAACTGAATTTAACTGTTGACCAAACAGTGGCTTAACTGTTTGGATTCAATAATCGACAATTACAATTTTTAATGGGAGAGGTTTAAATGAGGTTCTATTCAATTGGGTCCCTTTCTTAATATTCACGGGCCTAAGATCTGAAATACATCTCAAGTAACTCTAGATGGATTTTTGCTTAAGATCTATGATTTTACTGTTAGTAGTGAGAAAAGATATGAGGACTTATGGTCTCACTGAAGGTACGACCCTTAATAAAACAGAATGACAAATCACGATTTGTATAATCAACTCTAGTTAGTTGGAAAATTACTTTGATAATGATGATGATGGTGATACATGATTTTGCGGTTCAAACATGGTGAAGATTAGATGATATAGGAAGAATTAAACTGGATGTTGATGAATGGTCTAAGAACAAAGTTTAAAATAATATAGTTAGAATGTTCGAAATCCAATTTTTTTGCATTTATAATTGTGTTGATGGAGATTATTGACCCTTAAAATTTTAGGTCTAAAGTTTCTCTATGATCAATTGTTGAAGGAGATCACATTTGAATAGGAGCATGGGTTGTATTTGCTCAAAATGTAAATTTTAACTTAAAAATAAATTAAAAGGAAAATACATCCAACGGATTGCTCACCAAACCATTGGGCCAACAACGTTCAATTCAGCTGAGCACACCAAGTGCCAAACAACATTTTTATTTCCATTTTAATATGTGGGTAGGCCTACACTGAAACGTTAGCGTGTAGAAAGCATTCCAAATTTTCCCAACTCAAGAATATAATTTCATGAATATATTTGTTTTAAAAAAGAAAAAATGTCTCTCTAAATTTTATTTTTAGGTTTTATTTCTCAATAGGTCCAAAGGATCAAAATATATCTAACCTTATAGATTCCATTTATTATATCTTCTAACCATTGGACGCTACTTTGACCCATCTTTTTAGCCCAAACAAAGGTTAAAAACGCATCTTTCTAAACTTCCTTCCCTTTCTTTCCGACTTTCCCAAGTTCCCTATATGCCCAAAAGATAGAGAGAGAAAAAAGGTAGTTTGGGGAAAACACCGGAAGTTAGATTTGTTTGAGCTAAAAAGTTGATGAATGTATTTAAATTTGGTCTATAGATTAGAAGATATAATAGATAGAATCTTTATGCCGCCAGATATATTTTAAAACATTGGGTCCGTTCAGAAATGAAACCTAAAAATAGGATGTACAAAAATATTTTTTGTTAAAAAATAAGCTTGTTTAAAAATACTATCTTTATTCATTTTGTAAAATTCCGCAAGGAGACCATTTACTTTTAATACAATGCAGTCACAATAACTATTCTCGGTCAAATTTCAAATTGGATGGTTGTGAATGCATCATTGATTAGACCCAAAATTTAAAAAAATTTCTCGAACTTTATGACACACCCCAAGCCATCCAATATAATATCTAATGGCTAGTAACAATTGTAACCTCTTTGTACCAAAAATAAATAATATCATAGAATACAATCCCTTTTAAAATACCCATGTTTTTGTACCCAATCACCCCAATTCAACGCCACCCTCATTTTTAAGTCTCAAATCTTTTTTTATTAATGTTATTTAATTTTGGATATTAAGTCACCCTAGAAGTAGAGAAATCTAAGTTGAACTAAAAATATTATCTTTTATATCTTAATTTAAAAAACAAAAACTTTCGCACGCCCACGCACTTGCTGCTTGCTGCTTGCTGCTTGCTGCTAAGTAACTATGCTAAAGTAAAGATATTCTATATCGCTCAAAACTTAGAGGTAAAACATGAGATATACATTAAGAACTAGATAATAAATAAATTTTCTAAAATTTATCGATCTCCTAGGAAAATTTGCATTTATATTGCAGTCCATGCTACGAAGAGAGACAAATAAATATAAACTAGGGGAATGGTGTAGGAATTTGTTTGGTATGTGATTTGGATGTTTTGGAAGAGTGAGTGTCGCCCTCGTTTTTATATTTTCCTCTATTTTTTGAAGTTTTAAAAGTGCACCCAACTATAACTTTTTTCTTTTTCTAGATCCATAGTTTTTCTTTATTTTAGTAAAGCTTATTTGGAATATTTGCTTTTAGTTTTAGTTTACTTGTACTACCTTCATCTTATTTTATTTTGTATTTTTAATTTTTTTTTTGGGGGGACTAGCACAAGACTCAAGCACTTTTGAATCAGGTACATCACCCCACTAATAGCTTCAAAACGTTAACTCCCTATCTACTTAGAAAAATGGATAGGTGTCTGTCATCCCCAATAAATTATCCACAAAAGAAAAGCTGATTGAGAAATTATTTTTAAATTAAAAATTTAGGGATCTGCTTTAGAATTATCAGCCACTTATTATAAAAATATAATATTGGATTTTGAGTCATAAGTTAAAGATAATAAATTTTAATTCTTTTAAGGAAAATTTTGAATTTCAAAAGTATAATAGAAATAATGAATTGTTTTAATGTTATTGCGTAGTTGCAATTTCATGCTATTTTAAATATTTTAATTGTTATATGAAATCAATAATAAACAAATTTGAAAACAAGATTAAAATGCCCACTTTAAACAAACATATTATGTATATAATATATTATTAAAGAGAAATAATCCTATAGGATCCTCTCCCACCCATGTGTGTAGGACCCTAAAGAATCACCATTAAATTTGGTATGGATCTCTAAAAAAGTCAAATCTCACACTCATGTGATAACTATTCTAATGATCCGTGCCAAATTTAAGGGCAATCATTTGGGGTCCTATACACATAGGTGGGAGAGAGTCCTACACGATCATTACTCATTATTAAATATAAGAATAATATTGTCTTTTGTTTCTTAGGTCCCTCCTAAACCCCACCCCACCATCCTTATTTTAATTTTTATTTATTTTATTCATATCTAAATATTTCTAATGATTCCATATAGATTTGTCCACCCCGGTGTTAGCAAAACCGGCCGATCTAACCACTAACTGGCCGATTAAATCGAAATCGATTTCGATTTTAATCGATTTTGGTGATCAACTGGTATTTTAAACTTTAAATAGGATAATACTTCACATGTACGTCACCTTTTGCTTAGTTTTAATAGGAATTAGGGTTCGAACCTCGCCGCCAACGTTGTTTACATGCATTGGTTCATCGTTTGCTTTTTAAGCGTTGGTTCAAATATACTTGTGCCCACTAGAAGAGTCGACCTAAAATCCTCTTTTAATGAAGTCTTTTATGACTTGGCCCACTAACCTAACCAATACACAATAGACCTATTGACCAATAAACCATTTATTACTAGACCCACTAACCTAACCAATACACCATAGATCTACTAACCAATAACCATTTATTCATAAAAATAAGGGCCTATATTATATATAACCATTTTTTTTATTTTCTTTTAAAAAAATGATCATTTTTTTTTAAAAAAGGTTCGTCAAATTGATTTTTTTAACAGTATTTTAATATTCTTTACATTATGGTAAAGATTAAAAAAAAAATTGGTCATTGATACTCACTTTTATATTTTCTTATCTCTTTTAAAAAAATTTAAAAATACCCTTAGACACAAATCGATTCGTTAAAATATATTTATGCCCACTAGAAGAGTCGACTTAGAATCCTCTTTTAATGAAGTCTTTTATAACTAGACCCGCTAACCTTACCAGACGAATACACCATAGACCTACTAACCAATAAACCATTTATTCATAAAAATAAGAGCCTATATTATATATAACTTAATTTTTTTATTTTCTTTAAAAAAAAATGATCTTTTCTTTTAAAAAAAAGAGTTGGTCAATTCGAATTTTTTAACACTATTTTAATATTCTTTACATTATGGTAAAGATTAAAAAAAAAAAATGGTCATTGTTACTCACTTTTATATTTTCTTTTTTTTTTTAGAAAATTTTAAAAATACCCTTAAGCACAATTGATTCGTTAAAATCCATTTTTTCATTAATTTTCAACTTCATTTGAGTGTGTTTTATTTTAATCACATTCTTTATATGTTTTTCATATTTTAGTAAAAAATTTTGTAGCTTTTTTATTTTTTCAATACTTTTTTTTATCGTTCGGAACATGCTCGGTTAGAGCTGTTGAATCGGCCGGTTTACAGGTTAGGCCGGTTAAATCACTTCTAGGCTCATGTCCAGTTAACCATTTAGGTTTGATTTTACGAACACTAGTCCACCCTACATGTACAAGATTTAAAATACAAGAAAAAGAAAAGCATAAATCGCTTGACCTTTTTGAGATGAAGTATTATTTATCTTGAAAATATTTATCAAAACTGCTTTGTGGGGCGGTGTGGTTGAAGTTGTGGAACAAAATAGTTTAGTCGTCTCTCTCAAACTTTGCAAAGTTAGATTGTAAGTAGATTTTGTCATATGTTGAGTATCGTAGAGGACTGAGAGGCGTGTTTGCGCTTTCCATTGTACTTTTAGGGGGAAAAAAAATAGAAGGAAAAAGTTGCGTTATTTTTTTCATGTTTCAAATGGTAGGGGCCCAAATCCCCTTGAGATATCACTTTTTCGAATGGTTTGGCATCTTGGCAATAGTAACCTATGATGAAGTTTTTTACTTCATTCCCACCAAAAGTAGGGGCCAAATCTTTAATGGCTTACATTTTTTTGTTTACTTATAAAAAAAACAAATATCATGTGAGCCAAAAGCGTACGTGGCAAAATATATATATATATATATATAAGGATTGTATATATTGAGACCATCTACCTTTGATACAAGGTAGTCACAATTACTTACAAGCATCCGATGTAAAATTTGATAGTTTGGATGTATCACAAAGTTAAATTCTTTTGAAGTTTAAGCTTAATCAATGGATAATTGCAATTACCCAATTTCACATCCAATAGTCAAGATTAATATGACCACCTTGAACGGAAGGTAATTGTCTCATTTTATACTTTTCCTTATATATATATGAGTAGTGATCCTATGAGACACTCTAACACCCATGTGTGTAAACCCCAAAGGATCACCATTAAATTTGACACAGATCTCTAGAAAAGTCAAGTCTCACACCCATGTGATAACTTTTCTAGAGATTTATACCAAATTTAATAGTGATCCTTTAGGGTCCAACACACATGGGTGTGTGAGGGTCTCATAAGATCATTATTCTCTCTCTCTCTTTATATATATATATATATATATATATATATA